TTGTGCAATTAACCTGGTTTGTTCATGCAATATTATCAGGGGGCTAAGAATGTCATCTTCACTAGTAACCTTCCTGTATTTCTTCTCTTCCATTTTTTTCCTATAACTTGAAGAAAAACTGGGAACAGGGAAGCCTTTGATTGATACTGCAAACAGTCCTTTCGTCTGAAACCATAATTGTTCTCTTCCTATTGTAATGCTATCATTTGATATACTTATTCTTGTTCATTATTGATTACTCTTTATTATTAATTTATCCTCCAGGACACACATGTGGCACTTGCATTTCTGAATTCTTTACACAGATGAAGGCAAATACCTACTCTAAAATGTCACTATTTTTAACCTTATTTAAGCATCATTGTTGTTATTACCTACTGGGTCATTCTGAAAGCTCTTTGAAAAGTGTGTTAGCTCTGCACCACTCTTAAAGCACCAGGCCACAAGGATACCCAATATCACGTACAGACAAGCTGTTGCCCCCTTCACTTCAGTCCAACTTCATTGTTGCATACAAGGAGGACTGTTCTTGTGCCATAATTGAAAGTGCAGAAAACTAGAGGAAGTAGTCCTAAATTAACCTTTTCTTTTTAATTTTTAAAAAAAGTTTCTAACCTTCATGTTGTGAAGATAGGCTGCTGTGGTTGGATGCTGGGCATAAAACATGGTGGCTGTCAGGGGTGGTGCTGCGATTCTGGAATGTGTACAGTGGGACAGGGGAGGTGTCAATAAATCCAAGAGGGTGTTCGCAAATATGTGTTGGAAACCCTGTCCTTTTTAAAGTGTATTGCATCACAACACATGTAAAAAAGGGACAGGGCTTTGAACACACAATTGCGGCCATAATCTTTTTTTTTTTAACTCCTCCCCCCCACAATCCCCCATGGATGCTCCTGAATGCGTAGTATTGTGTGCTCTCAAGAATGCCTCCAAAACATTTTATTCCCTTATTCTCACTGCCTTAACTGCTGGGTTAGTAGCCCCAGGAGTAACAAAAGATGAGTGTGTGTGTGAGAGTCGCAGGATGTTTAGGAACCCCCAAACAGTGTCTCTGCTTTTATTCGTTCATTTTTCAAATCTTGATATTTTCCTACAAAAAAAGAAAAATCCTGTCTGTTGTCTGGGGATGGGAAGTATTTATTGAAAGGTTGTAAAAATATATATAGGTTTATACATTCTGGTAGCTTATTTTTTAATCCCACCAATAAAGGTAGCTAATTTCAATGAGCCTGTTTGAGACTTCAGTTTTTTTTAAAGGTTGAGCCAAAGCAGCGATATATGAAACTCTGTTTTGATTTAAAGGCAGGAATTGGTCTGTGACTATATTACGCCAAAACAGTGAGATCTTCAATTCATGCAAGAGACCCATTTCTCCTAGAGCAGTGTTGTCCAAACTTGGCCACTTTAAGATGAGTGGACTTGGACATGGCTGGCTGGGGAATTCTGGGAGTTGAAGTCCACTCATCTTAAAGTGGCCAAGTTTGGACAACACTGTACTAGAGAATGTATGCATGTCATTGGGGTGGACAGTACTTTCCCCAAAGTGGGGAAATGATTGATTACTGTTTAAAAGAGTGGAACTGGCCTTCTGTCTGGTACAGAAGATGCTTTTGGAACAGTCATCAGCCAAGGCAGATGAAGCAGGGTATTCACCATCAAGGGCTCATGTTGCCAGGGAAACTCAGGGCCCATTGCTCAGAGGTCCAAGTCAGTCTGCAGAAAGGACATTCCAACACAAAGATGCTCATTCATAGACGTAAGGTAATCCCAAATAATTGGGATATCTGTAAATTATTTGTATCGAAAGATCCCAGCCAACTCCCGAGGGAAAACCCCATATTACCAGTGGTGTCACTACAGACTTCCGGCTCCTTCTGACCTGGGCTGGGCTGGGCTGGAGGTGGCGTCATGAGGACATGCCCCTTGGAAATTGTTAGTAACTTCAAGATGTGTGGACTTCAAGTCCCAGAATTCTCCTGCCAGCATGCCAAGGTTAAGAAACCCTGAGCTGGATGGAGCACCAGAGTCCCTCAACCACACCCTGGATGTTATGCAGAGTGGTGGTTGCTGTTTCCATTGGTATGTGATGCTGGGTGGTAGGGAAAAGGAAGCCGAGGAAGCCAAAGATAGGTACCCTACAACTGTCCTAGTCTGCAAGGACAGCATCACTCCCCAGCCTCATGGTTGAAGAGAAGTAAAGCTTGGCGGCGGAGACAGTCCAAATTATTTTGATGGACTTTTTTCCAGCTCAAGGACAGGGAGCACATGTTAATGCAGCTGTGGGGAAATGCTCTATGGATGCTGCTGCCTGGTTGAAGGAAGAAAGGGGTGCAGCTTTTAAAATAAAGAGTGAGGAAGACCAATGGGCCTTCCAAGGGATAATGTCCAAAGAAAGAGGGTTAAGGAAAATACTTGCTGATGCTAAAGTCCCAGTCCTAAATTGACAGTTTATGTTACTCTCTGGTAATGGCACTAGTAATCATACTTTGGCCTGCTCATATCATTAATCATAGATTAACCAGAGCTTTATGAATAGGCTGGAAGAAACCTGAGTAACCTTGTGATCAGCATGGGGAAACCTGGGTTTAATTCTGGCTTGACCCGAGCCTAACCTACTCCCTAAGAGTGCTGAAAGGATAATAGGAAGAGGATGTATGCGCTTCAGCTTCTTGGAAAAAACAAGAACACATCTAGGATTTCAATTAATATATTTTATATAAAGCATCCTTGGTGTCCTGCAATATATTACAACATATAGTAAGTACCTGGTCCCTAGCTCAAGGAAGTTGCAAATTCAAATTTGAAGGAACACAAAAACTAGAAATAGGTGCCAGAATAAATGCTGGAGGTAAAGGAATATAAGTTTCCAGGTCATTTGAAGCATTCCCAATATTTCATCTGCATTACTGCCTTGTAAACCATCTGACAACCTTGTAAGGGAGCTCGGTATTGTTGACTTAAATGACTTAAGCCAGGAAGTGGGTTGATAATGTTGTCTAGAATATTTAGGATAAAGGCAAGAGTTGACATGAGAGCTTGGCAAATCCTTCACCCCATGACTGTGACGTTGACTTTGGCTCCCTGGACAAAGGCAGCACAGGGGTCATGTTTAGGGCTCATCCAGTTCTTAAGGCTGGAGGGATGAATGAATGGAGCCAGATCAATGAACGTAGCTCTATGGAGCTATCCTTCTGAATGCCAGCAAAGGGATCTGAAAAACCTTCAAACACCCTCCAGAGAAATCTCAAGAAAATCACAGGTGGCTAGAACATGGGGGTGGAAGGACTTTTATTATTTCCATGTAAATTAATTTTACATCACAGTTTTGTGAATTCTGATCTTTGTCATCAGAGAGGGTATCATATTTCCTTTCCAGGTCAAAGTGCGTAGAAATGTTTCACAGTCTTTGTCTAATTCATGTTCCTTCCCTTAACACTTCCCCTAAAGACAACTGAGGCAGACTGATAATATGGTAGACTCCTAAAATCACCAAGGTTGACTGGCTGAACAAATGATAGGAACTCTTCTCTTCAGCTGTGTTACAGAAGAATGACCCTGGGTGTGCAGGAGGGGCTACCCAACCCCAAGTGTGCCAGAGCCGTGTGAAAGAGCCGCCTGACTCAGGAAAACTCACACACTGGCTGCAATTTGCAGCACCTGAAGAGTTTAAAAGAACCAGGGGAACAGAATGGGAAACACATAGAAGATGGAGACCAGACCCCCTAAAAAAAGGGGAGAAGGATGGGAAACAAATGAGTTCTCTGTGCATGATAGGATAGTGTCAAACATGGTCTAAAACCAAGATTGTAGGCACGAACTCAGAACTTCTAAATGGCTTTTAGACATGCCCATCAGTTAACAAAGGGACCCTCTCCTCCATGAGACCCATTGGGCCTGGGGGAAACAGATTCCTCTTTCACCCTCCACTGCAGACCTCCAGCCTCTCTTGCTTCTTGGTAGAGCCACCAGGTTTTCTGCATGGGAGAAGTGTCTCTCTTACACACAGCCGTAGTTAGGAGAGACCAGTTTCAAGCAGCCTTCAAAATTCTAGAGAAACATAATTCATTTCTAGAGATGTACATAGATGTGCCAATGGAGTAGAGACATTTGCCTACACTGCCCTCTGAAGATCATCCTTAAAATACACAAGGTCTGTCATCTTTTGCATCAAACATGAAATGCAGTTTCACAAAAATCTGAGCCTTAGCCTTTTCTAACAGATGTTCATAAAAATGCTGATGGATCAGGCCAGAAGCTTCAAAGATATGCAAAATCAAAATATAAAAACTTTCTTTTCCCCCAAATCTAGTACACAGTGGTGAGGTACACTGCTCTTAAATAGGGGGTCTTGATTTGGTTTTGACTCTTTGAGGAGCGCCCTTAGATACAGGCCAGACTTTGGTGATCAAAGCCAGAAAGATTTGAAATTTCACCACAGATCAGAGTTGTTTCCCCAAATCCTTCAAATCATACAGTGGATGTTATACATACTTTCAGTTTGGGACAGGGAAGCCAGAAGAGAAGAAATATGGAACGATAAGAACCTGTTTTTCCAAACTCCGTTGCTTTAGCCCAGTGTATCTCAACCTTGGCAACTTGAAGCATGCAGGCTGGGGAATTCTGGGAATTGAAGTCCACACATCTTCAAGTTGCCAAGGCTGAGAAACACTGCTTTAGCCTGTTTTATCTGTAGAGAGTCAGAGACTGAAAACTATATAGTTCATATAACAATGTGATTCATATCATAATCTGGGGGCATTCCATCCTACTGCAAACCTGTCACCCTCTTTTGAATCTGCAGAATCCCAGACCACTATTGTTAGTTTTCCCTTGTTTCTAAGCAAGAAGATCCAGGAAATTCACATTTTTGTAGCCAGGTTGTCTGGATGCAAGTTTGGCACATAGGACCTACGAAGCTGGACCACAAGTCTATGGAGGGAATTCATTTTGAGATCGCAAAGAATCTTTTCTTTCTCCATGTTTTCCTCCTCCTAAAAATGAAAAAAAAAAAAACAACCCACCCTATAACATGAAAACTGGCCTTCATTTAAAAAGAAAAAGAAAAAAGATGCTGGCGTTTCCCTGAAAAGAACAGGAGCGCATTAGTAAGAGTTTAAGAAGATCCATGTTGTCTCCTTCAGCAGCTGGCCAGATACCTCTAGAGAAGTGCAGAAACTGTGGGTAGTCCTGACGTTTCTTACCAGCACTAATAATCAGAGGTAGGTTGTCCCCAGGGATTTCCTAGCTGGCATGGCTAAACTCCCTCAAGCCTTCCTGCCTGACCCTCTTGTACTTAGGTTGTACAACCAATGTTTGTCCTGGGTGCTGGAATGCCGGGGGTGGTGGTGGTGGAATGGTCTGTTTTTCCCATTGGCCACTCACACCGTTAGCACTGCAAACCCAGGAAGTCTTCCATGGTTCAGGTTCTTATGAATGCACTCTCAGCAACTGAAAAAGCTCCATTCTTCCCCTTCTTTGGGAAATTAACAGACCATCAAGCTAATCTCCTCCTCCTAAATTGAACAATATAGGAACTTGCCTTTTTTCAAGTAGCAGATCTGAATGGCTGCTTCACATCACTGTCCACAAAAAGCTTGCAAGGTAAGGAAAACGTTGGGTCTACTCTCTTGCTTCTAACATAGAGAGTTTTAATATGCAGGGGTGGGTTTTTTGGCACAAGAGGTCATTTAGTCACGTAGCCCCACAACCCACAAGGGTAAGTCAAAAATTAGTCTCTGCATTGTGAGGATCCTTGGGCAAGATGCACTTAGCTGGTCTCCCTTCTGAAGGCTCCTTTCTACCATGCTGATCACACAGATGGAAAGTACCTGCTGCCCATTCCCAGGTAAGGCTCCAATAATGCTTATTTTTGTTGCTGATCCTGGTGCATAGATTAGCTCAGCCTTCTCCAATCTAATACTCTCCAGATGGGTTGAGACTGCAACTCCAGAATTCCCCAAGCAGCCTGGCCTCCAGACCCCTGGCTAAGAATTCTGGAAGTTGTACGGTTCTGAAGGCCACGTTGCTTGAAGAGTTCTGGGAGTTGAAAACAAATCTGCAGGACGCCAGGCTGAGGAAGGCTGGGGTTAGTGCACATCCTGTAGTTCTACCCTGAACCTGGAGAGAGTTGGCTAGATTTTCAAACTATGCAAGAAGATCTCCCTTTAAAAGGGTGACTGAGTTGTTTCCTCCTCTCTCCTTCTAGAAATCCAGACTGCCTTTTCGAGGGCCTAACAGCACATGGGAGTACGCATGTGCACACCCACAAACACACACACACTAAATCTTGCAACAAAACGTTGACACACCTTTGCCTCTCCAGCAGTGGGCAAGCAGTTCAAAAGGAATGGTAATTTGGAGCAGAGAAGGGGTAAGAGGAGAAGGTTTCAGCTCCACCTTATAGTTTCTCTCTGGGGCAAACTGCCTGCTTAGGAAATAGTTTTTCACCAGAAAAAGCAGCCTTGGAGTTTATGTACTTTTGCCAAACATGTTTGCAACAGAAGGAAGGAAGGGAGAAGCTAAGGTGTGCACACAGTGAAACATGCACACAGCGCACACAAGTGGGCACTGACAGAGCTGCATTCATGTAACACATTTCACCTGGTTACTGAATTGTGCCATTTTGTGGGGGGGGGGGATTTTCACAATATATCAATCTCAAATTAGCCAAATAGGCTGGGTTTGCATAACATGCTAAGCTATATAAAACATAAAATACTAACCAAGGTTAACAGTAACAGTAAGCTCAGTATGTTGTGCAAATACAGCCACTAAATCTTTAGCTGACTGGGCTAAAGATGTTGTGTGAATGTAGTCAGACACTGGCTCCAGGGAGCCCACAGACCAAACTTCTGCACAGATCTCTCAGTCTTGCAACTTCCCAGGAGCACGAAGGTGAAGCACATGCATAGACTCCCGTGGCCTATTCACAGAACAACGAAGTGGGGCTCGAGAGTCCAAGTGTGCAAGTTCACATCAACCCAAGGCACCACTTTATAGGACAAAGGTTTAAAGAGGATCTGTAGAGGTGTATTTGGGGGACAGGGAAGGAGCCCCCACCTTAATGCCAGCTGATGGCGGAAGCTTTCGTGCTCAGTGGGGCGTGCAAAGCTTTTCGCAACCACAAAGCATACAAGGAGAAAGTCAAGGACCCCTCACTTCTCCTCCACTTTGCAGGATGCACATGAGGAGAAGGACCTATTCACAAGGAGTATTTACAGGAGCCCAGCTGCCCAGACGATTTCTGCGCAAGCCAGGCACAGAACTCATCCCCCAAGGAAGGAAGCAGGGAGAACCAGCTCCCAGTGGTTCGACAACCAGCTCTAGCTGGCGAGCTGCGTGCAGCTGGTGGCAGGGCTCAGCAGGAGAAGCTTTTCTTCAGCCCAGCTCATACGGAGACATGCAGGCTTGGCTTGGGGCTGCTTGCCTGCCCCTGCTGTACTCATTCAGACACTTCAGCATGTGCACACAGTCCACTCTCAGCTCGCCGGTGCGTCTCCC